AAGTAATAATAATCATAATAATGATACCAGCAAGAGAAGATAGTGGAACAGATGAGAAAGATGATAATAATAATACAGTCATACTACATCGGTAACTATACTTAGACATAAGACAGTACTGTGGGAATTAGGTGTGATGGCACAAGGAAAAAAACTGTTTCTGTGTTTAGTTGTTTTGGCATGCTATGCCCTGTAGCTGCATGCTAAAGGGAGGAGTTGAAACAATTTATGTCCAAGATGCGAGGGGTCTGTAGATATTTTCGCAGCCCTCTTTCTGATCCATGGTTCTTAATGAAAGGAGGCTGGTTTCAATAGTTTTTTTCTGCAGTCCTAATCTGTTGAAGTCTGTACCTGTCCTGTTTGGTTGCTGTACCAAACCAGACAGTTCTAGAAGTACAAATGTTAGACTCAAAAATTCCTCCATAAAACTGTATCAACCGTTCCTGGGGCAGTCTGAATTTGCTGAGTTGAAACAGGAAGAGCATTCTTTGTTGTGCCTTTTTAATGATGGTTCTAATGTTAGGAGTCAATTTCAAATCCTAGCATCCCAACATTTGAAAGACTCTACTGTTGATCCTGTGTTGTCTAATCTAGTAAGAGGTGGTAGAATAGAGGGCTCCTCTAAAATCCACTTTCATCTCTAAAGTTTTGAGCATGTTCTGTTTCAGATTGTTCTGGCTGTACCACAGGGCCAGTTGTTCAACCTCTCCTCTGTATCCAGACCAGTGGTGGGTTTCAAAAAGTTTTGGAACCTACTCTGTGGGTGTGGCCTCCTTTGTGGGAGTGGCTTGCCGGCCATCTGACCTGGTGGGAGTGGCTTGCCGCCCATGTGTTTTCTCTCTCTCTCTCTCTCTTTCCTTCCTTTTGTCTCTCTGTCCCTTTTTTCTTTTTTTCTTTCATCTCTCACTCTTTTTCTTTCTTTTTTCTTTTTTTATTTATTTGTTTCTTCCTTTCTTTTTCTTTCTCTCTCTGTGTCAGCCTGTCTATCTGTCTGTCTGTCTGTCTCTCTCTCTCTCTCTCTGTGTGTGTGTGTGTGTGTGTGTGTGTGTGTGTTTGTGTGTGAGTGCTGGGTTTCAAAAAAATTTGGAACCTCTTCTGTAGGTGTGGCCTGCTTTCCGGGTCCATTGGTGGAACCTCTTCTAACAGGTTCGGTAGATTTGACGAACTGGTTCTACCGAATAGGTGTGAACTGATCCAGACTCTTCACCATCTCGAATGAGACCAATGACTGTTGCAAACTTCAGTACTTTGTCAGTACAGAATTTGCACAGATTGCCTCCTATTTTTAACTGAGGTATGATTTCAGAGAAAAATCCCAGTAGTTAATAGAACTCTCGAGGGTAAATTGATTCATGAGATACCTAATGTTAACTGCTTTATTTACAGTCACATTCTGTATTAAGTAGTGTACTTTTTTCTGTTTGTTTTTATAATCATCTTGTAAAAGTCTCCTTTGAAATACTCTTGTTGAAGTTGGAAAATGATTCCTATTCAAACAACCAATTTACAAATGTAAATTATTTTTTTCCTCAGTGAGCAAAGACAAATATTTGATAAGTAAAAATTCATTTATATATATATAGGTCTTCTTTAACCCAGAATTTCAGGCTATGCACTAACGCCCAGTTGTGAATGCTTAACTTCCATGAATTATGATACTGTAACCTTAGATATAGATTACAGCATCCATAATTGGAGCTCCAAAATTCATAGATTATCATCACAGAGAGCCAGTTTTAAAAATGTGATAAATATGGTGCATATCCTATGGGATTCTAAAGCAAATGTGGGTTTCCATTCTCTGTTTCTACCCTTTGGCAGAATATTACAGAAATGAACACAATCTTTAGCTAACTTCAGGCATTTCCTAAAAAAAGTAATGCTACAGTTAGTCTGGCTGGACTGGTTTCTTTGCCATGCACCTGGTATATATCACTTTAAGAATAAATCATGCCTCATTAAATTACAATTAAATGAAATCATGATCATTTGTTTTTCTTGAAGAAGATGCTTTGCATATTGAAAGCCTAATTTGTTGCAGGTGAGAAAAAGATGAACAGATTATTTAGTATCACTTTATTTTTATTTTTATTTCATAATGCTGATTGTTGATTCATTTTGGTGTCTACCAACTCGGAGCTGTATGAATATAAACGAGGGCTCTCGTAATACTTTGTTTTATTGACTTTGTTATCACTCTGTCATTTATTATCAGCAGAGTCTGTCAGAGCAGTCTATTCAGAACTGCATTGTAATAGATTTCCATCCCAAGGCATTTTCTTATGAACAGACTTTTCACATTTCATTGCCACCTACTTTTTACCATTTTCAGTGGTGTGCTGCAAGCTTTCCCCTCACTTTTTGTATTGTATTTGAACCTGATATTTGAAGCCCTGTTCCCTTGATAGCTTAGCATAGTGAGGAGTGCATGTGCATATAACCATTCTGCTCAGATTGCTTCAAAAGTCAGGTTTTACATAACCCTACTGATAAGACTGAACTGTTTTCCATAGGCTTAGACAGGGGTGGGTTTCAACCGGTTCGCAGCGGTCCCTGCGAACCGGTTGGTCGGTGAACCCAGAAGTAAGTAACTTCCGGGAACGGCGAAGGGCCCACCCGCCAGCCCGCGGTCCTTACCTGGTTTTGACGAGTTCTGCGCTTCCATGCATGTGCAGGACGCATACAGCGCCTGCGCGATCCTCCAGGAGCAGCTGGAGCATCGCACAGATGCTAGTACGCATGCGTGCACCGCGCGAGTGCACGAGGACGCCGCCGGCCCCGTTCCAACCGAACTGGTTGGAACGGGGCGAGAAACCCACCCCTGGGCTTAGAGTAGTATTTGGCTCCAATAAGATTATGACCATCTTCATTAGTTTTACACTGGTATTTCAATATTGTGGCTTCACTTAATACTTCATAAGGAAATGGATCCTCCCTGAGCTAAGCTGGGGCTGAGCTTCAGACTCCACTCGCCCCCCCCCCCCAAAAGCCATCCCAGAGCCACAGTACCAAAAGAGCCAAGGTGGCGCAGTGGTTAGGGTGCAGTACTGCAGGCCACTTCAGCTGACTGTTATGTGCAGTTCAGTGGTTCAAATCTCACCGGCTCAAGGTCGACTCAGCCTTCCATCCTTCCGAGGTGGGTGAAATGAGGACCCAGACTGTGCGGGCAATATGCTGACTCTGTAAACCACTTAGGGAGGGCTGAAAGCCCTATGAAGCGGTATATAAGTCTAACTGCTATTGCTATTGCTATGAAGCGGTATATAAGTCTAACTGCTATTGCTATTGCTATGAAGCGGTATATA